AAAAATAAAACTTTATCAATTCTGATTGAGAGCCAAGTCTGTCTGCTTACATACTTACAAATATATAATAGAATAAATATATACCGTATATACATATAATCGATTTGGTTTTCTTGTTAAAACAAAGCCAGGTTCAACATTTTTTTTTCAAGTCACACTTTACATGATTTTTCCATATTTGTTTTAAGCATTTCTATACAATACAAATAAAGTTGGCAACCAAATTCCTAAATTGATTTAGCTTGTTCCAATGGTTTTAAAGCTGAATGGTGGCCAAATGAATTTCAACAATATTTCATATTTAATTAAGTACAAAACAGGCCAAAAAGGTCAAGCTCTTGTGGTTATTTGATATTTTAAAATGTAATTACCGTAGTGACCTTATCATTTTCGAAAGATTTCCAAGGACAACAAAGCCGCAAAATGGGAAACCAGCAATTCAAATGCAATTCCAATTAGATTAGGGCAACCCAATCAAGTCGTATGTCAAAATGAAAGCTTGGATTTGCAATTTTTATTTGAGTAGAAAGTCACACGTAGGGAAGGCTGAATCTGTTTCTCCGAAAACGACGTATTTTAAGTGACATTAACTCGAAGCCTGTTTAATATTCGCCCTGCTCGACTGTCACATTGAAAAATCCTAACCAGGCATCCTGCATCCACCATAGAAAATTTATGTAGTGAAACTTTATTCAACATTTTTTCTTCTCTACTTTCTTTTTGCTCCTTCCCTCGGCGGCACTTAGGAATTTAGGCCAAAACACTTTTGAAGCTTGCAACATGGTGCAGTTGTGGGTTGCAAGTTTACAAATTTTCAAGAGCTGCAGAATCGTGTAAAGTTAGACGAAATGTGACATAAATGATTTTCATAGCCGAATTTTTTCTTATGGCGTGAAGTTCGCAAAGTATTTAAGGAAGTGTTGTATTTGCTTTAAGTGCGAATCATTTTTATGTTTTTAGTTCTTGTTTCTATGTATATATTATGAAGTAAAACAAAGTTTTAAAGAATTAATTTGATGGACAAATTTAAAATCGATTACGATGTCAGACCCAAAACTGGCATTTAATATCGTCTGTAGTGTGACATTTTTCACATAATTGATGTAAAATGTACATAATTTATATTAAAATTAAATCGGAACAGAGCGTACACATATATGATTCACCGTGCAGTCTACGGCATTTGCCGTAAACATAATTTAAATAATTTCCATTACGGGTACAGTTCGCTTTGCCTGTGCACTTTGTTCCCTCGCTGTTCTGTTCTGTGAAAGCCCAGACTTGCATATAAAACATGAAATTAATGCTTAATTAAGCAAGTTCCTACCTCCACACACCCAAGGAATGTGTGTGTATGTGTATCTTTACTCGATTATTTCGCTAAAGAAGAGGGCACTAAGAAGTTTTCTCCGCCATAAACTTAAATTCTGATTTTCATAATTTATACCCAAGCTTATATGCCAGAGGCTATGCTACAATTTGCGCAGCATTTAGCCAGGGTTGCTCCCTTTTAGGATTGCCATGCTCGCCTTTGTTTTATGGCACCCAGATGAAGTTTATGTCCCAAAGCTGTGTAAAGTTTTTATAAGGGGAACAGGTCCAGCTTTGACATCGCATCGGAAGTTTTTATCTCAATAAAAGTTGACAATTGCAAGTAGAAGGGGTATAGATGTCAACTTACGTCTCTTTAGTTTGGTTCTCTAAAACTACACCTGAGATCTCGAGGAACTTTTCTCAAAAGGAATATTATGTAGAGTACGAACAGAAAGTTACATAATCTCATAGAGAAAGAGTCTTTTAAGATTATAGGTTATTATGTCACAAACTATAATATATTCTTTGAATAATATATATTTTTTAGTTTTGAAATAATTAATAATGAAATTACTTTGTATTATCCCAATTTAACTTTACTATTTTTCTAAGTTTTCCTAGTTTTTCCGTTGTTCAGTTACAATTTTGTATTTTTCCCTGTGCATGCAACTTTCTTCTTTTCATGCAGTGCATAAATTATATGCCTTTTCCCTTTTACCACATTTTTCTTGTGATTGTATGTGTGTGGCGGAATGTCAAAGCCTTTTGCTCCTACCCTTTAACCCATTGTGGCACCCATCTTAACCCACGTCCTTTGTGGAGCTATTCCAATGCAAAAAGGTCTGCATGCATTTTTGGGCAAAACAATGCGCTTGGAAATTTCTAAAACAAACACACACGATAGCCAGCTCTCTCTGTCTATCTGGTTATACCCCTCTCTTTCAGTCGCTCTATGTCAAATCGTGCGTAGTTATTCACAAGAGGTACCAAAACTCATTTCGGTTTCCTTGGGATTTTTGGGGTGAGATAAGGAGAATTCTAATTGTTACGAGCGTTTTCCTGTTGGACTTGGCGCGAGTCCTTAGCAGAAAAAAAATACAAAAAAAAGAAACCAACAACCCAACCCTTAGAAAAGTTCTCGTTTCTCTAAAATGAATTCTCTCTTTCTCAGTGCCTGTCAGAATTCTCAGATTCTCTCTACTTTTTAAGTGGCGCATGCTCAACAAACTGTTCGAATTTCACTTGTTTCAGGTTTTAGTAGTTCACGTTCCACAGATGTTTCTCACGTTTATACCTCTCTTTCACCCTGTCCTTCCTCTCTCTGTCACACTATTTTCCCCTCTCTTTTTCCCCTTTGAATAACCGCATGTGTATTGGCGTAGCATTTTAAATGAATGAAAAATATTGTCGTAAATTTCTTGTTCACTTGTGCTGCCTTATCCTCTTCTTCTGCTGCTTGGCCTTTTGGCTAGTGCAATGCTTTGTTAAGTGTTTTACATAGTTGAGTTTTCCGTATTTCCCTGTTTACCGTTATCCAAGCACATGTGTGCATCCTAGAATTTTCCTTTTACCTCCTCCATGCCATCATACGTTCATAAATTAACTCAAGGATTCTGGGATCTCATGGAGAGCCTAGAAATAATGTTGCATGCAATCTCAAATTTCTTGCCTAAACGCTTGAAATACTGAACATCATTGGAAGTGGCTGGAGGGAGTTCTTCATAGATAATTTCTTTATGATTTCATCAAGTGGTTGATTTTTTTGGTATTTTTAGAAAGTGCAACTTGATGGATCAATATTTTCTCATTTAATAAGAATACCAATTTCGCATAGCAAAAAAACAAAACTAACTAACTCTTTTCAACTGCTTCTTTGTTTGTTTTCCTTGAAAGTCAATTATTTCCAAGAAACGCCACGAGCAATCCCTTGCTTTTAACAAATCCATGATTAATCAGTTTTTGAAAGCTGCAAGTGTAAGGACGTAAAAAGTACATTTTCAAGAGGGGAAAGGCTGCGATAATGTGTGAATACAAACAGTGTAAATGAAAATCCCTTAAACAAAGAGGATATCCGATAGCGAATGAGAGACAGTTGCAGTTGCAAAATTTATGGAAACTGTTAATTGACTGACAGTTGAACAGGCGGAAGGGGGGTCACCAGAGGGGCCACCAATCGCAGTCACAAAATCCTTTCCACCCACAAAATGCGGAAAACTGCAGAGGAAAAGTTGCTTTTACAAAAACAAAAGTCCATACCTCGATTCAAATGAAACAAGCGTGGGTGTGTGGATAACAGTGAATATATTTCAACATTTCATGAACTTGTACACTGGTTGCAAAACCAACTTGGACATACGGAGGAAAAGCTGTCAGTTGTCTGAACTTTTCATTCGACTCGTGTCAAAAGTTGGGCGCAGAAATGGGGTGGGTAAATGCGGTTTTCGGGTTTTCCGGGCCGGAGGACCACCGGTCCGGTAATCCTAACTTGCTTTACAGCTGCTCAGTTGATGCCTGAATGGATTCTGGGTTGCTGATGCTCCAATATTTGCTTATTGAGCCACGCTTGAAATGACAGTCAAAGTAGAGTGGTTGACAAAAAATATCACATAGTAAGTGAATAAACACACGGAGAAAATCTCATCAAAGTTGGTAAATCCATTTAAAAGTTTTTATCTGAATATGTTTTAAGACATATATGTCTTATGTATTACCTCGATTTTGCTTAAAATTGAATTATTCTTGCAAATACCTATTAATTTTAAAGGCCATAGTTTTTTTCTGTGTATATAACCTCCACTGTTGTATCGACCGTAATTGCTTTCCATGTCAACCAAATATTTGAAAAGCAATTTGCAATTTTATCGTAACAAAAGATGTTCCAAAGGAAAACAAGGAGTGACGAGAAATGGTCAGTAAAATTGAAAGAGAGCCAAAAATAGTCAGCACTTTTCCTGTGATTTACGTTTAATTGTTGAGCTTTAGTCGTTATGCTCAGCAAAAAGGTCATATAAAATCACTTCCAGTTTTCTTATGTGTCCTTAACTAATCAAAACGAGATGCACTTTGACATAAATTGTATTTTATATTAATTTCTGTGAAGTCTGACAACTATAATGTCAAATGTTCGGATTTTTAAGCCATTTAAGAAATATTTTCAAGCATTAAATGACACGAGATGCTCCCCTGACATATGAAAACGAATCTCCGTTTTGTCCGTTAACCCTAGATCGAATTAGTCCAGTTTGTCCATCATTGTGTACTCCGTCGTGATTTTCTTAATTTTCCTCCCCGAATTTCCATAATGCGATTAATTTATTGGTATTATTTTGCAGACGCATTTATTTTTCGAGTACCCCTACGCATATAATTATGCTTAAACAGCTGAACAATTTTGTGTGCTAATGTGGAAGATTAAATAGGCTGTGGCGTGTTTAATAAATCACTGAACAAATACAGTGAACGCTCGCTAATTGCTTTCGTCTGAATATCGAAATTGAACATTTATTCAAGGAGATTTGGCAACAGTTGTTGATGATTTTATGTATAAAAAATTTGGTGGGATATTGGGTTAAGTGCACTGATTTATTTGGCATATCCTAAATGAGATATTATAAATTCTAACCATAAATAATTTTTGCTTAATGGTTTTATTTATATTAATAAATAAATATAATCTGGTTACTTACCATTATGTCCCATGTTTGTGATAATGACCCAGAAATCGATGGTTTTCTCTGGACCCAGCTCCTCGTAATCCCACTTCTTCTTGACTCGCACTGCTCCATTTGTTTCCACCGTCACCCAGGGGTTATCGTCTCGGATCTTAAATGTTTCCTTATCGGTTTCCTTTTCCAATTGGAACACCGACTTTCCCTCGGTATCGCCATCGGCTTCAGTGAATTCAATCCTCTTGGTGGGTCGAACAGCTCGGGTAACTCGTCTTTTCTCTCGGTGATGCGAGTGATTATTTATCTCATCATGTTCCAGATGTTGCATGATAAACGAAACTGGTTCAGCAGCCAAGAATTCCAACAAAACCTTCGCTGGTTTAGCACTCAATAGACTGGGATACCTCAAGTCATGGGCTATCACCTCGATAAGGAGTTCGTTTGAAGTGGGTTCACCTGCCAGCATTATTTCACCAGTTTGTGGTACGATAATTACAACATTGCTTGGTGACTTCAGCCTGTAGGCAATTTTATCACCATCAGCATCGGTGGCTTCAACTTTGCCCATGATCGCAAATCGCTGATAAGTCACACTACTATTGCTCTCCATATTAGCAGACTTTTGACCAGCAATGGCGAATTTATAATCCAATGACTTGAAAATCGGTCTATTATCGTTTTCATCTAGCACTGAGATTTGTATTTTGGATATGGTCTTATCCAAGCCATCAACATCTGAAGCTTCCACGGAGAGATCATAGTGAGCCCTTTCCTCTCGATCCAAAGGACGATTGGTGACCAGCCAAACACCGGATTCATCATCACCATTAATTACCAAGGACTTTGCACTTAATTGAATATTTTTATTGGACTTGCGTTCCTGCAGAGCGAATGCATCATCTACGTTTGCCGTCAATAATGGTGTACCTAACTTTCTTGGGTGTGGCCAGTTCTTCATCCAGGATGGAACCACTGAAGGCCTGCATTAGGGGCACTCCTCTTACCCGGGTACCCGCCGGTTGATTCTCCCTTACCTCACCACTGGCATCGAGTAGGGAACCCGAAAATCGCAGCATGTCATTGCGATGCATTACGAATAACTGAAGATTGTGGGTATTGGTGACATTGGGAGTTTGTTCAACGACCACCAATTGAACTGGACGATTGACCAGCGGGGATATATCCGCCGTGGTCATCACCACACCATCTTCCAGTACGGTAAAGTACTTTGAGTAATCACTATCCAACATGTGATAAGCAGCTCCGCCGGCATGCGAGCTACCATTTATCTTAACAGGATGGGTTTTGAACTTCTTGATGCTAAATCCAGGATAGGTATCGTGGGGCAGCACCAGGGACATTTCACTGTGATGTGACGAGGGTGACTTTTCCACATCCCCTGGACTGCCAGCCAACATGCGGGCTGCATTTTCCGCCGATAGACCAGCAAATGTGGTCTCCTCTATGGTCAAAACTAACGGGAGGGCTATCAAATATATCGCGCAGGTGTATATATTAAATCGGTTGGTTATATAACGTTGCCTGAGCAAATCCAGGCAACGTCGTGCCGCCATTTTGCCGCGGCACTTTCTGATCCTGTTTGCTATCAACACTGTTTTCCTGTGACTTTTCCTTTTCTATTTTTCACCCTTTTCAATTGTGGATTTTACACTTAACACTTGAGTTATTCATGGAGTTAATTCCTTTTGTCCAGTCTACTGTTTTCCACTGCTGATCAATACATTTTCGTTGTTTTGCCGTGGTTGGCGCAAACTGCAAATAAAATGGGTAGAAATGAAAATTGATTTGTGGTTAGTAGCAGTTCTCGGTACAGGTAAATATTTATGGGCATTGTGTAAAGTTTATGGGTCATTGAAAGTGAATCATTCATGAGCCATGGGTAAATAAATATCCTTTGGGCTGACCTGCAAGGGTTAATCAAGTATGCAGGAAAGTTCCGCTTATGCGTGGGAAGACATCGTGAATAGTGGAAGTAAGTTTAAGGACTATAAATATTTAATTTATGGTGTAATTAAGGTCTATCTGGGACAATGTTTTGATTCCTTAGTTTGTATTTTCACTCAAATTTAAGCATTATAAATAAAAATTATAATTTCTCTTTCACCGACAAATTCCCTAAACTTAGTCCAGCGCTTACATGCTAATTAAACTTTAAGCCCGTAAAGAGAAAATGGAGCCCAATTTTTGAGGCTGTGTCATCACCACCATTACATAGAATGCACCAGCTGAGCCCGAGAAAATTGTGAACTTTTCACTTTTTAATTGCTGTGTGGCAGGCAAGGACCAGACTCCCAAAGAACACAGAAAATGTTGCACAAAGCGAAAACTTTTTAATGATATTAGTAAAAATATTTAATATTCAAGCTATTTTGCAAAGAGAGAGCACATGGATAGAAAACATGGAGGGGGGAATGGCAACATTGTCACAGTCTTTTCCTGTCAAGGACTTTTCACAGGATATGGAATTTTCGCTGGGTTTTTTGATGTTTCTCCCGACATGCTCTACATAAGGGCTCAGCAATTGCATTGTCCTAGGCTCTAGGTTATTCCGTGGAGTTCTTATATATTTTCACCCCCTAAAAATATGTGCCACACATGGCTGGCCTTGAAAAGTAAAGTTTCATTGAGGGAATTATTTTAATTACCCCATGTGCAACACGCCATGTCTATGCCCTGTGTGTCTAATCCGACATTGGCACGCACCCTGTAATTTCGCTACCTAAAATTGGGTAAGTCGGAAAAAGGTTCTTTCTCTTTTCATAATTTTTCCAACAGCTGCGCAGGCGCCACTGACTTTTGGGTTATTGAGCGTTGCACGTTCATCCCAAATGTGTTGACAATAGTTTTATTTGCTTTTTACGCGTTCCTATCAACGAAGAGGATTTCTGGTCCAACAATTGTCGGGGTGACAAAAGAGTGGGGGCTATAGTTTGCTAATGATCTTCTAACTAGCCAGACTTATTATTGGGTGTGACCGGAATTCGATGACAAATGATTACATGGGTAATTCGTGGGTGACTTTTTGAAAATTACACGTGTGTAGCATTGTATTTCCTCTAACTTTGTGGGTTTAATTACAAAAAATTGAAGATTGAACTGAATTAAAAGAAGAATTTTTTTAGAAAGATCACATCTGTAAATGTCTCTAATTAGCTATCGGTTTCTGCCCGAATGGTTCATGACTACTACTCAACAATGAACATCCACTCTTCTACTAATTTTAAACGGTCCCAAAACCCGAATCACATATGTTTAATTCTCACCTCTTTGGGTTATCTCTCTTGCGGCATCTTAATTGCAATTAGCTATGAAAATGTCCCCGGCAGCCGAGACAGATATCTGCGCGATCTGCTAATCAGTTGACGGAGTTGACTACCAAACAAATTATCGAAATGTCGTCCATTTGCATAACCAGCTTTTGCTGCTAATAAACCCATAGTTTCGGGGGTAACAAGCTCCAAGATATAAGCCATATAAATCATTTACAATTTGTTTTAGCGAAAAAGAGAAGAAGATTTTTCTACTCGGCTTCCAACTAAATCATTTCTTTGTCTTTCCTAAATTTGATTGGCGGCAGTTTTTCTGCGTGTTAAAATTCATTTGAAATGCCCAAGTCTGCGATTAATCAAAACACACAGTTCGGTTTTTGTATCTTGAAAATGTTGGTTTCGTCTCTTTTTTATTTTTCATAGTGTCACTTAATTAAAAGCAAAGATAAAATGCGATACAATATGGTGAATAAAAGCGTCCTCTATGCGTAGCTCTACATTTCGGCATAAATGAATATTTGATGCTGGAATTTCGTGTGTTTGATATTTATATATTCAAGCATTCGATTGATTGATGCGTCATGGCAGCCAAAGGGCACGCAAGAGAAAAGTTAAATTAAATGCATAAATATTTGGAAGCTACGTTGGAGTTTCGGAAATGTATCTTTTACTTTGACATAAAGTTCAGCTGGGGAAATCAATCTGGCTTACTTTCTAGAAAGCAGTGGTAGAATTTCAAAGACTTTAAAACTCAAAACCTTAGGCACGCCCCCACAGAGCATCACCTTGGGCTTTCCCCATATTTAAGTCATTTAAAATCGATTAAATATCAATGCAACAGACCACCTGCTGTGTGTTAACCTGAAAAGAACTTGAGTGTGAATATGTTTTCGAAAAGACATCGAAAAATGGTATTCAAGCTCAAGGCGTTGGCCGGTTTATTGTTTATTAGATTTTTAACTGCTGGCAACAGTTTTTTACAAGTTTCAGTAGCGAAGCTCATAAAAGATCAGTCCGGCTGAATAAATTTTATACTGTTGCGACTGTCTTAAAAATTTCCTGGATTGAATGACAACCAAATGTTTACTAATGAAGCTTTAATTGCCTTTGATATATTTACTCTTCTTTGCGTTGCTTTTTCTGACTGTTTGCCAATGGGAGGTAGGCTTATTGATTTCTCCTTTGTTATTACCCAATGGCATGCAATTAAAATTCACATTTTCATATTTTATTTACTCGCTCTTCACCCGCACAAACACAAGTTGTCGTCATAATTGATCTGACGATTTCTTTGACTCTTTTCACTTTGTTTTATTACCAGAAATTCAATTTTTTGGGTGGGACCTTTGTATCAGGCATTCCACGTTAGTGGCAGACAATGGAATATTAAATTTTACGAATTATTGTTTAAATAGAGGTTAATAAATATTTTTAACAGTCAATAAATGAAAAAGAAAGTTTGTAGGCAAACAAATTTTTAATTGATGACGATTTTTTGTTGGGCGGGAAATTTATTACTTTGACATAATAAAAATTATCAAATTTTAATATTGCTGTAAGGAAGTCATTCCTGTTTAATGGGATAAAAATACAAACATGCCAAAGTCTGTTACTTTCCCAGTTTTTTTTATTAAAATACCCCATCTGCTTATAAAAACCCTCATAATTCCCCTAAAATTATAATCATTTACAACTCATTTCCCTAATCAAGGTCAAAAAAACAAAGTTCCTAAATTTCGAGAAAAAAAAATGAAATAAAACATTTTTTACCAGGAACTGCGGGCAACCCCCAGAAAATTATGCAAATGAAAAACTAAAAAGGGGCCTTAAACAAAGGCCAGCTAAACGGAACATGATGAAGGGCTCAAAACTCCTCATGTGCAAGTCCACTCTATCAAAGTCGATGAGAGACATATTCGGTTTGAGGAGATTCTTATTATTGTGCCACCCGAGCGCGTGGCACTCCACACAACAATGGCCAAAAATCTTCCTTGTCAGGTAGAAATTGGAAAACGAATAGAATGCCAGACAGAGGGTTGAACAAAAACACACTTCCGATTTTCGAGATTTTTGGGAGGGTCGAAAATCAGGTCTGGTCCCTCCGCTTAATGTATCCGGCAATGGCAAACAGAATGGATGACAGGGCAGGAGCAAGCAAAGTGCTTCATCAAATATGAAATAGCCCATCCAAGTAGAGGGAAAACGAATGGGAACGCCAACCAAAAATTGTCATCCACATGGACGAAGACCGACCGACCCTCTTCTCCTCTATTTTTTTTTCGGGTGACAATGAAAAATTGAGCAGACAATGATTAATTGGCCGGCGCTCGGATGTTTTGCTATTTAAATTGAAGCAAGGCTGAAAAATAAAATATACGAGTAATATCCAAAGATAAAATTCCCGTGAAATCTGCAGAAACTCATTAAATTGCGGAGTCCTGCAAGTATTTATGGGCTGTCAACACTTTCGCAAAAGGATGGCGAGCGGAAAATGACTTCAACATGCAAATATCGCATTCGGTTCGTTTTTTGGTCCCCAGGCTATTGTCTCAGACCGAGTCATAAATAAAGTCATTACGCACTCGTTTCTTATTTATGTTGGTTTTTCTCCATTTTTTTGTATGCCATGCGCCAAAGGATTTTTGCATGCGATCCAAATATTTGCATATCACAAGAAGCCCGCTCGCCAGAAGCGTAAATACACGGTAGCCAGGTAAAACAACAGCGGTAATGGAGGAGTGGGGGAAATGAAGGCGTGCACACACTCCAGGTAAAGAGCAACCTGATACTCCTCCGATGTCTGGCAACAAATTATGTGTTAACAACACATGGCCAGCGTTTGGTGACACGCCTCCTCAAGACCTCTAGACTGGTTGGTCGAGGGGAAAACTGAGAAAAAACCTGCATTGCTAACTGGAATTTAGCGGTAATGATAACTCAGGTAGCTGATCAGAAAACGACGGCAAAGGTGCAGGGAATGGGCTGGGCTCAAATGATGATAGCTGGGATGTGTGGCAAGCCTAAGATGTTGGGTAATCATAGTTAAAGTGCTTGCACTGAGAACAAGAAACTTGAAGTATAAAAATTGGATTTTTTAAGTTGGGATAAACTATAATTTAAAATAATATCTGAAGCATTCAAAAAGTTATCTAATTTCCTTAGCCATCACTTAAAACCGAACAATCATAGCAAATAATAACATCAGATAAGTTCCAGGTCTAATAGCTCCCGACCACAGCTATCAGAATCTAATTCCCAAAGAAAACAAATCGAATTTTCCTGTATTTACAATAGTAAGCCTTGCCAACCAGAACAATTGGCCATTATAATGTCATTAACTGGCACCCCAGAGGCATAAGAAAATTTCGCTTTGTCCGCCTTTTGCCATGTAATAACAATCTTAGTTGATCAAAAGTGCTTTTTGGCTCGCAGCGTACCGAATATTGCCGAAGCTTTTAAGCAATTAAATGTAGGACCTGCAGT